TTTGATTTACGTATAATATATTGATATATAATGTCTTGTGGTTGGGGGGGGGGGGGGGGGGGGGGGGCGTAACACAAAGACTTCATTTACCGGACAAGCCAGCTCCAACAGCGACCCAGCCACTTCTGTACTGTCTGTATAGATGCAGTTGGTCTCTTGTTGGTAAACCATAGTTGTAGTGGTGGTTGTAGTGTCTCCACTTTGTTGGCTGAACTCCTGCAAAGCATCAGGACCTTTACTGGCCAAGGACTCCAGGAACTCCTTCATACGATGTTGAGGAATGCTCCGAGCTTTCTGTCTCACTAGCTCCTCATATGAGCTGCTGCTATCCATGGCATTATTCATAGCTGCAGACTGTTATCACTTCGAAGAGATGGAAACCTGGAGCAAAAGATATAAAGCGACATTCTGAATTTCAATTAAAACTATAATAAAGAAAATAAAATAAAAAATACTATATTAAGATCATTCAACACCGGCTTTAGTCGGACGCAGTCAGAGCTAAATGACTGGTGATTGCACAGAGAGAGATTGTAATAGGAAAGGGTTAATTCCGGCTGAGTGTAAACGAGCTGGGACAAAAGCGCGGTCACTTTCCAAATCGAATGCAGCAGTCTTGGGTTGGTAACATATTCAGGATGAAACGGGCACGCTTAAAACTGGATTTATGTTACTGCAATGTTTACGGTTACCTGTCTGAACAGCCCCTAACCAAGCTGTTGATTACACAACGCGCTAGGTTAGCCAGGTGCATTGCTAACTAGCCGCGTGTGGTTTGCAAAATAAAGCCAATCACTGTGTCGTTGGAAACAAGGGTTAAATCCAACAATTCAGATGACAATTGTCGCTTCGCAAAGGATTAAAGGTGCGTTCAAACCATCAGCTCTTGACAAACCATTCTACGTCTGTTGCGCTTTACTGTTTTTTCTCTGATTACCTTAAAGCTAACAGGCTAGTATTAGCATGAATATTGGCTACCTGTCTCTAACAGCTCGAAGTTTAAGTCGTCCACAACGGTTTTCCTCCAGTAAGCTGGACGGTGCAGTACTGTTGGTGTTTTTAGCAGCTACCTAATGGGTTACTTTCTCCGTTAGCTGTAGTTTTTCCTTTTTTTCCCCCACCAGACTCATATTCCGCTGGGCGCCATCTTACAACAGCGTCCTCAAACCAATAGGCTACCGATTTGTAACTCTGGGGTGCTGTCGCGATATTTCTGACAGGTAACATCGCGAGAATCTTCAGTAGCTTTGTAATCTGTTAAAGGCGACTCGTACAAACAGAAAAGCAGACGGGATGGCGCAGATGTCGTTCCACCTTAAAACACAGTTCTTCCAGAGAGACGCTCCTAGTGGCTCACTAGCATCTAAATCTTTTAAGGTGGTGCCAGAGAGATGCACCGAATATTTAGTCGGGGCTTCCGAAGCTCTGGGCAGGTGGGAGTTAATTCCCACGCACGTCAGTCTGGCGTTGCATTATCCCACGTTGTTTAATGTTTACGGTTTAATGTGCTCTTATTGTGGTCATATAAATCTCATCTTAAAAGTATCCCTGTCCATACAACTGCTATTCTGTTGCCGTATGTGATGAATCATTGTTTACATCAGTAGTAGTTATACTAGTGTGGTTTTATGTACTGCTATAATGAGGATGAAGATCAAAAAAGTGGTAAGCTAGCTACATTTATCTATCCAGGAGTACAGAGTTCATGAGCTGCCTGAAAAAGTCCACGACTTTACCCTGAGAGTCCTGAGAAGCAGAGAAGAATCAGATGACTTGAGTTAAAAGTTTTATCCTGATTCAGATAAGCTTGGAAGAAGTGGTGATGTAAAGCAGGTGTCTTCATGGCGGTCCACCAGTGCCTCCTTGAACCTATTCCATTCATAACTTTAAACTGTTTTAAAAGAAATACTTTACCAATGACTTTTGTTGCCAATGCAGACTACAGAGATAAACATTGTAGCTGTTATTGTTAAACTCAGAACATCACGCAGTTAAATATTTAGGTGCACTTAAGAAAAAAATGTCAGGCACACCAGTACAACGAGTTACTCTACAGCCCTAAATAACATAATCACCTGGGTTTGCCGTCATTGTTTATTCTAGTAATCACTTCTGATTTTGAAGATGTGACTAAATTAATTACTGGCATAATAATGCCATTTGTTCTGCAGCAGGCAAAGTTCTTACTCATTTACTGGAAGTGTTCATGTTTCCAGGTCTGACTCTGACTCCACCCTCAAAAAAACTTTTTCCTTAAAGAATTTATAAGTTCACTGACTGAAGTTTACTTTTATAATGAAAAAAGGCTCAGCCTACCTTGGCATTAGTAAACACCGTCTCTCGTTGTACCTTAGACAATACAATGTGAAAAGGTAACCCACTTTTTCATTAACATTTGGAGCAATCTTTTGGCAGGTATAAATATTCAAGAACCATCAGTGCATTACTTGCCATTTACATGGACATGGAGACATGCTCACTATATCATAAATGCAGACAGTTTTGTGATATTCATTTTATTTTTTGCTGTACAAAGGACCCCTGAGAGTCTTAAGAACCACAAGATGGGAGGGTACCACCTCAGTTAGAAAAATCAAATATGGTATTTGAGAGCATCCCCTTAACGTAAAACATCAGTCATAATAAAATTTGCTCAGGAAGTCCTTTTTTTTTTTCTTCTTATCAAAGTTGCTTACAATGCTGCAGCAAAAAAATAACAGGACACACAAATCTTGAAGGGGCTCTTAACACTGACTGGTAAAGCCGTAAGAGACCAAAGAGCAGCCTCAGAGTTTGCTGCTTTCTTTACGAACCAGTCACATGAGACATACATGAGAAGAGCTGATTAGAAATGTTGCAGGCAAAAAGAAAAGGCATACAATTTAAAGCAGTCTCAGTCAGATCTGTCTGTGTCCTTGAAGATGTTCCAACATAAGTGATACAAACACAGTGGTCGAGTATCTGAAGGCTCCGGGGAATAAGCACAGCTTCTCTCTCTTTTTTTTTTTTTTTTTTTAAATCAATCAGATCTTCCCTGGGTCTTCTTTGAGTGTGACAGTTCTGTTAAAAACAAGCTGAAATGGAAAGGGAAACCATATTACAGCATGTCTTACCACTGAAATGTGCATGTATTTAATATAGATCTAAAAGACCTATGTAAATAGCTGCTAGCTATATAAAAATAAAGCATTTCAAATTTGATTTGACTTTAACTGTACCTTATCAGCTGAGCTGTCGGGATCCAGGGAGAAGTAACCGACTCTCTCAAACTGGAATTTATCCAAAACTTTTGCTCCCTTCACTGAGGTATCCACTAAGGCACTGCTGATCACCTGCAGGGAATTCTGGAGAAAACGATGTGAGAAGATAAGTTTCAGGTAAACCCCCTGAAACTTGTAAAAGTATTCATATCCTTTAAACTACTACAAATATCATATCACATGCACAACATTTACTGAATTTCAGTAGGATTTTATGTGAAAGACCAACACAAAGTAGCATATTTGTGAACCAGAAAGACAATTATACATGGTTTGGAATAAATCTAAAAAGTGCCCAGTGTATTTTCTGAATCAAAGCTTAACCACTGAATGATGAAGATACATTTTTAAGTCTTGCCAAAGACTTACAGGGTTGATGTCACTCAGGAAGCCGCCAGGCACTTCCGACGGATCCTCCGGGTGCTTGTGCAGGAAGCTGCAAAGCGGGCGAGACTTCTCATTTAGTTGAGTTTTTAAATCACAGGTTGTTTAGTAGTGGATGGCAGTCGTTGTTTCTGACTTACAGCCTTTCATAGAGACGCACTTCACACACCAGAGGCTGGCTGACCCAGTGGATGAAAGCCTTTGGTTTCTCTGCAGTCTCTGAGCTGCAGCAGGTCACTTCCAGTTCCACCACTTTACCCTGAGAGTCCTGAGTAGCAGAGAGGAATCAGATGACTTATTGAGTAATAACTTCATCGCCATGTGGTGATTTAACAGTTTATCCAAAACTAATGTTTGCACTGAACAACCTTGGAAGCTAAAAATACTGGTAAAAATCAGAACGATAGGTATGTGTAGAATTATATTTCCTTATTTCTATTTTTAAATTTTACACTTAATTATTTCATGTTTAACTTAATGCATACTTAATTGAGACAAATTGTGCCTTAAATCTAATTATTCCATGTGATTTATAACACAGGTAAAGATATATTATCTTTAAAAAAATGCATGAAAAACATGCAGTAATGCAGTTTAAATATGTAGCTGAGGCACCATGGTCCCAGCAGCAACCTGTGGCTGGTTTAACATAGATGGATTCACCTCTTTCTTACAAATTTAACTCCCTAAAAATGGTTTTGACTCAATGTTTCTCGAATTTCTTGTATTACAGTGATATTAAATGAAATAACTTTGACATTTACCTTGATTACTTTCTGGACAGAGATGACATAGCCAGCATGTCTCAAGCCAACCGGCTGTTCTGGAGTCAGACGCTTGTAACCTTTCTCCATTACCTGCAAAAAAAATAAAATAAAAAAAATCAATAAGTCCACAATGAAAGACTTCCACAAAAATATTGTTGGAGCTCTTTGTTTATCGTCCTTCTAACCTCTCTGAAGTCGCTCTGTTCAATGAATACTGTGCATGTAAATGGAACGGTGTGGGCGCCTTTGGATTCATTGGCAGGAAAGTCTGGTACCCTTACATCCATCTGTGAGTGAAGACAACAGCAGTCTGATTACTTAATGAGGTTAAACTTCCATCCATTTTCTTACACCCTTATCCCTAGAGGGATCCGGAGGGGTGCTGGTGCCTATCTCTAGCAAACGTTTCGGGCGAGAGGCGGGGTACACCCTGGACAGGTTCCCCAGTCCATCGCAGTGAGGTTAAATTTAACCTTTAAATCTTTAGCACATGTATTCTTTATTTGAAAGTAATTTAACAAACCTTTGTGTCCTTGGGAAGGTTTGTTATGGTGACCTTGAGGGGTTCCAGCACCGCCATGGCACGAGGAGCGGTGTCATTCAGGACGTCTCTCACACATGACTCCAGCAGATGAGGTTCTGTCGTCGTCTGGGAAACGGTTACACCAACCTGAAACAGAGGCAGTTACAATTACACAACAGCATATTCCTTTTACATTGAAATCATTGTCGATCTGTGCAGCAGATCGAAATCCCTCCACTCTACATACGCGTGCACAGAAGTTATTGATGGCCTCAGAGGGGAAACCTCTTCTCCTCAAAGCAGTCAGAGTGAAGAGTCTGGGGTCGTCCCAGTCTCTGCATAAGGAAAAAAAAAAAAAAAAAGATCAACAAGGTGTATGTGGAACCAAAATCAAACACAAGGCTTTTAGTGTAATGCAGAGTTTGCTCTATTAGTCCAGAATATAGTAGTTTGAAGTAATTTATACTCAAAACTTTCAATAGCATAAGCCTCGAATCTTAAATAATTCAACAAATTAAACACTCAGCAGATTTTTATTGAGAAAAATGTCTATTGACATTTTGTTATGTACAGCACATCCTAAATAATGAAGAGTAACTTTTTGTAACTTTCAGAAAAGAAGACCAACTGATTTTCTAAAGGCAGGTGGTTTTAGAACCCATCTCCTATTTTGTCTTTTGTCCAAAGACAATTTGTGTAAAATCTTCTCTTTTCTGCAAAATATTTTATTAAATGTCTGTATGGCATGCAGTTTTTTTTTTTTAAATAAAAACCTGCTTTGCCTTCTTTCACAATATGTTTGCAATTTTAATTGATATTGTTTTTATCCCTGTGACTACACACCAAAAAATCCATAAGGTGTATGAGCAAATGTATTGCGAAAGGACGCAAATAAAAAAATTAAAAAATCCCCTTCGTTTCCCCTAAGGGGATCCGTAAGAACCAGAGTGGAAAAAAAAACAACATAAAACATACATTTAATCTTAACATAAATAAAGATTTGTTTTGTCACCTGACCACGCCAGTCTCAACAAGTTTGATAATTTTCCTCTTCGACACAACGGTGTAGGTGAGGTTCAAGCGGCCGTATTCCCACTGAACGGGACAGTACAAGTCCAGAGCGTTACACAGCCAGTAATACGAGGAACGCCTAAAAAACGATTATGAAAAAGCAGAAAAACTCGATCAAACCGATGCCTTCAAACCAAAGCCAAGAGCAGTTTACATACAGATCAAACACCTTGATATACCTGGCTTGAAACTCTTTGGTACACAGAGAATGGGTGATGTTTTCAATAGAGTCACACAGACAGTGGGTGTAGTCATAGGTGGGGTAGATACACCTGAAGAGGAAGATGAACCAAAAAAGTTAATCAATTCAAACTGAGTTAAAGAAATGAAAACTAAAACATGTTTCCTTACCATTCGTCTCCTGTTCGGTGATGAGGCGTGTACTTGATTCGATATGCCACAGGATCCATCTTCCCATCCTCCATGACCATCTTCATCCGGAGCGTGGCCTCTCCCTCGGCGAACATGCCCTTCTTCATCCTCTCAAACAACACCAGAGACTCTTCGATGGGTCGGTCCCTCCATGGGGATGGAGGAACGTTGTGGCCTTTCAGCTCCTCACCCTTCTGATGGCACACATACGCATGGCCCCTGATGACAGTCAGGGTGATCAGAAATCCAGCCGTCCATCAAAGCAAACTCCCTGCGTACGTTCTCGACCCCAGCTTACCTGCGGATCAGATCAACGGCGAGGTCGTAGAGTTTCTGGAAGTTGTCCGACGCGTGGGTGACGTCGTACGGCGTGTAACCTGTGAGGTACGGCTGCGCTGATTAGAAGCCGGTTTTATAATACAAGGATCGTACATAATATTCATTTGAAAATCTCCTGCTTTTCCAGATCTCAACTACACATGGTCTGAGTCACTTTTAGCAATTAAAAATATACAAAGATGACTGTGGTCAGGGCTTTAAGTATGGAACCTGGAAAAAAAAAAAAAACGGACTGATGAACAGGAGGAGAAGCAAAGAAGCGAGGCCTGCAAACAAGGACGAAAGGAAGGGTTGACAACAAAAAGTTGACCGAAGACAACAAGTTAGAGGATAAAGCCTAGAAAATCTAAAGTTTGTCCATACACTGATTTTCTTTTATCATACTTATTTAGACCTGAAAAACACTTAAATCGCATTCCAGACTTTTTCAGATGGTGAAGGAATCCTAATGCATGCATCATGCTTACACTATAACCAGATAAAACATCATCTAAACACACCCAGCCACTCCACCATGTCCTTGATGGCAGTGAAGTACTTCTCCTCCTCCTTCTCAGGATTGGTGTCATCATACCTTAGGTAACAAATCCCATTGTTTGCCTGCAGAAAGAGTTTAGATTCAGAGAAAACTTCTTCACAGAAAACAACAAACAGATTTTAAGTTAGGCAAATGTACCTTGGCGTAACCAAAGTTGAAATTAATGGCTTTAGCATGTCCAATGTGAAGAATACCGTTGGGTTCAGGTGGAAAACGGGTACGGATCTGAAGCAGTTAAAGCAGGCAAAACTCAGATCATTTAATATGAGCACTTTTCATTTTATGTTATTTTAACTTTTCTGTACCTGTCCACCTGTGAACTCAATGTGTTTCCGAAGGAGATCCATTGTTTTTGGAGTCACAACATAACCCTCGGTTTTGTAGTTTTCTCCTGAAAACGAAAAAAGTAAAAGGTCAGACTATAAATAAATTACCCTGTGTTACATCGTTTAATGTTACCAATATGCAGAAAAATACCATAATGCACCAGGAAGAGATTTGACTGGTTTCTAAGAAATATAATCTGTGAATGTGTAAGAAGATATGACTTTTCTGTGCAGATGATCAATTATTATCAATCAAAGAAAGTAAAATATTTTATCCAATCTTGACCTGGTGCAGTTTGTTGTATTGCAGTGTGTCCAGACTACTAAAGTACAATAATACAGTCGCAGCTTGAAAAAAAAAGACATGCATTTTACTAATGCTAATGTTGACAACAAGAACAATAGAAACAATAACAGATGCTACTTCATCTAAATGCTAAGAGTTTTCTTCTCACCTGGTTTATGAAACTTCAGTGCTTCTCCTCTCAGCTGCTCCATTAGAGATCTTCCTTCCACAAAATTGCCATCACCTTAATATATGAACAAACAAACAAAAAAAAAAGCACGCTCAAATAAGAAACAGTTCAATGAACTTTTGTCTGCTTGCTGCGGCTCACCATTCAATGACACCACCTCCTCTTTCTTCGCCTTCACGTCATTCTCTCCCACCTTTGCTTTCTGTGCCTGCATAACAAAGCATGAAGGATGCAGTGATTACACAGAGCCAGAAAACATAGCAGGAAGCAGCTCAGGTGAGAGTAGTTTAAACTTTCCCTCACATATGAAACAGCTCTCTTACCTTGGGTTTCTTCTCTAGATCCGCCTCCGTCTTGGGTCCCAGCAGGTGCAGGACCTTTAAGACCAACGGTAATGTGTAACGTCACCTGTTCGTATTTAATTAAAGCAAACCCTCTCCTCCTCCATTCATACCTGCACATCCACCTCGTTTTTGATCACCTTCCCTTCGGCCCACTTCAGAGCTGAGCGTGCTTCTCCTGCAACAGATAAAAAGACATTCTGTCTGTCTGTCTGTTCTGCTGTAATGGCTGTGATAATATTCAACCAAATGTGAGATCATACCCATTAGCAATCCCATGTTGAAGCGATACCTCTCCGTCAGCAGCTGCTCCTTGTGCTTCTTGATGACAGACTCAACCTGCGCGACAGTCCACTGTCACTCAACACACCACTTTGCAATAGTAAAAAACACAAACTATTGTGTTTGTAAATTGTTTACCGTGTAAATCTAAAGTGGAAGTATTGAGACACAGTTTTCAAATGGTTTTGTAAGTAAAAATATTAAGTGTTGCATCCATTTTTATTTAATCCTCAGTCACAAAACTTTGTAAAAAAAAAAAAAAAAAATCACTTTTTGCTCGAGTTATAGCTTTGAGTTTTCCTGAGTTGTGTCTCTTCCAGCTTTGCGCAGCTAGAGATTAAAGTTTTAGACCATTCCTCTTTGTGAATCAGCTCAGGCTCAGTGAGACTGGATGGAAAGTATCTAAGTATTACGTTTCCTATCAGTTGGACTTTAACTAGGACATTCTAAAAATGCAATAAAATGATTACAATAGTCTATTGAGGAACAGGAAATGATAACAGCAGGCTTTGGAAGTCACCAACACAATAAATGTGGCCTGTAAGGCAGCAAGTTTTGCCACTATGATTTAATCAATTTTACGAGACGGATCAGAGATTGCTATTATATTGCTAGGTATGGATGTGACTTTTTTATTAGCTTACTTATAGTGCATCATGTACAAACTATGCTTCTGAGAACTGTGTGCTCAATTCCAGTTTCTAAATGCTATCTTAGAAACTGGAATTGTAATTTGTAAACTATATTGTGATAATTAAACAAACTGTTCAATTCAAGAAAAAAAAAACATTTTGTTTGTTTTTTTTTTTGTTGTTGTTTTTTTCCTGGTCCAGACGGTCAGGACTACTTGCTTTAACTCACTGAAATCCTTTTAGTGACACTGGCTGCATGTTTAGGGTTTTTGTAATGCTGCAAGATTAAACTAAACGTCACTAAATGTGTCACTTAATTAAATTACACATGGATGGACTATATTTTCTAATTAAATTACCCTTTGCGGTAATTGATCCTGTGAATGTATTTAGAAGTATTGTTTTACAGGCTCAACACAAATACACACTACAAATTTCAGGAGTTAATTTGTAAAAACCTTTGAAAACATTTTTTACTTCCGCTTCTATGCAACGGTTTGTGTTGGGTGTCATGTGGTGATATGTCAAAAAAGCTAAGAGTGCATGATTGTATTTGTGAGGCATTTTGCTTCAGATCAGTGGGAGATTATACACTTACTGCATCCTCAATCTGCTCCGGTGTTATGACTACACCTACACCACATGCTTCATCAAACTCTTTCTGACTGATGGGATCCTCGGGATGACTTTTGACAAAGTCTAAAGCAGCTGCAAAAAATATAGATAACATACGTGAGGAAGCAGTCAACATCAACCTAAGGTTTATTATTCAGTATTGGCTTCATCGTACATATCAAATGTTGTGAGAAATTACCTGCCAGCTGTAGTTCTGTACAGATTTTCCTCTGAGCGATGCAGTCTGACAGAAATACCAGGCGTTTGTTGTCTTTAAGGCGAGAAGCCATACTGTACAGCAAAGTGCCCATGGCTTTGTCCACTCCATTTGCCCCATTGACACGCTGAGCCTGTTAAAAACAGTTTTTAAAAAATGTATCAAATTTGTTGCCTTTTCTCCAGCTCTGTCACAGTTAAAAATAGCAGTCGAAATAAGAGAAAGGACTCAACCCAAATTAAATAATGTGAAAAATATAAGCTTAGCTATAGAAAATGTAAAGCGAAAGTGGCATTTAACCATTGTGCGTGCGAGGACTGAGGCAAACGTAGAGGACTGTGGCAAATCATCCAAGTTTTACGTGTGTAGGGTCGGTTGGACCCCATTTGCAGACACAAGGGTTAAGCTTGATGTTTATTGCTTAGTTAGTTTCAAAACGAGTAAAGTTGGTATGCGGAGCAGCGACATATCCCAGCTGCACCGGTGAGCTCCTACCTGAATAATCCCCTCCTTTAGTGCAGAACTCAAAGCTTCATTTTTCAGTGTCTCCTTCGCTTTCTGCTCGCTGAGCCCAATCGAGGTGAAAAGTGTCAAAGTATCAGCCATTAGTCTTCTTTAGAAATCGGAACCACACAGACACAACGCCGCCGCACACTGTCTGTCTCCTCAGAGGAAGAGCGAAAGAGAGACTTCCTGTCCAACGCAAACCAAAAATATTACGCTAGAAAGTTATTAGCCAATAGGGCACAAACCCCACACATGGAATTGACCAATTACGAATGAGCTTAGCTTGCAGTACAAGGCTATTAACCAATGAGCTGTTTGTTGACATCAGCGAGGGAGGGACTTCCAGAATTAGAGTAACGTTGCATCAGATTGATAGTTCAGTCACTATTTAGCAGAAACATGTAATATAATAACATTTTATTTTCGTGAGAGATCATTTTAAAAACAGAAAAGCGCTCTTTTCTATTTTAATTTTTACACGTGTGAATATTTCCATCGCAGAGTAACTTATTTTCTGTCCGTCATTTTCTGTGTTAACTCTGTGAAAGTTTTGATGGCTCCTGCAGCTGGCTCCGCTCCATTTATCAGCCGGCGAGGAAACCGGCACTCATGCAAACTTAAAGCTGTGAGATATCTGGTCCAAACTGCATACAAAATATCTGTGCACCACCTTAGCCCATAATTCATAAAGTTCATCATATTCATTGACTTTGTTCAATTACCGACTGTAAGTAACATTATAGTTTTGCTCCTGACAACTGCTGCTAGCATTTTAGTGTCTTATCACATCCAACTTTGAGAGATCTAGGGGAGTCCATGTCACAGCAGGGCTGTGGGCAGCAAAAGAGTAAACAAATAATTATTAAGTCAACTGGTGGTAAATGTGTGCCTTTTTATCTTATTGCCTCATCGGTGTGTGGTCCTCAAATATTTAGGGTGAGGCCATCTCACCACCTCTAGCTAGGATAGAATCTCCTCCCTTGAAACTAGTCACCCGGAGATTTTGCCTGTTGACGGGTAAAGAGTGAATCCATCATATAGCTATGTGTACATTCGCTTTTCATTTTTCTGCAGGTTGCATACCTGCAACCTGCAGGTCGTTTATCGGTCAGTAAAGGCATCTTTTAGCTCCAAACAAGTATGGCCAAACATGCGGTGTTGTCTTCAGGGGCTAAATTGTGGCGATCTTTGCCATGCGCAAAGTCGGAGCTGCGACTGGAGCTCACCCTTGCTTGTGGACAAACTTTCCGGTGAGTGTTTACAGATAACTCATAACATTAAATGAACCGGAAGATACGCGTATTCCTGTGTTTTTCCATTTAAGCATCATTCAATTAATTCACAGCTGGAGAGAAAATGCTGATGGGCACTGGACTGGAGTCATAGGGGGACGTGTTTGGACCCTGACTCAAACAGAAGACACTCTTTGGTACTACGTGTACACAAACCAGGGTGGAGCTGGAGGAGAAAACAGCTCAGAAGACTCTCTGAGGGCAGAGTCTGTCACTGCCTCACACCACTCTGAGGTGGAAGAAGAGATGCTGAGAGACTACTTCCAGCTGCATGTGAAGCTGGGGGATCTATACAAGGAGTGGGGTGCAGCAGACTCTCATTTCAAGAAGATTTCTGACATCTTTACAGGTTAGTGTGTTTGTTCATGTATGCATAGTACTGTTTCACAGTGAACTGAACCAGATCTAAAATGTACTGCTTGGTGTTTCTGCAGGTGTGCGGATGTTGCGTCAGGACCCCACAGAATGCCTTTTTTCCTTCATTTGCACTTCCAACAACCACATCTCGCGTATTCAGGGCATGGTGGAGAGATTGTGTCAGGCTCTGGGGAGCCCTCTCTGCCAGCTGGATCAAACATCCTACCATGACTTTCCGACACTGTCCGCACTGGCAGGTGCGTGAAAATTTTGCATTAGGATTTGCTCGCCCTTTACAGGATTGACCAAGTCTCTTTACACCCGAAAAATTACATTATTTTTTAAACACTTCTCATTTTGCAGATAAATCAGAAAAAAGCCTACGTTTTGTTTCCCAAAAAAGAAATTAGGGTTAGGTGTTGTGTAAAAGTACAAGGTGTGTAACTAATTTTTCAAGCCACTGTTGAACGGTATTTTTTATTGTGGTGCTTTTTGTCTGACGTACCCATATTTAGTACTTCATAATGTCCTTTTCAGCAGCTTTTTCTTTTTTACAGTTTCTTATTTCATATATGCTGCTCTTGTGATCTGCAGACAGTGGTGTAGAGGAACGTCTCAGGGATCTGGGCTTTGGCTACAGGGCTCGGTTCCTTCAGCAGAGCGCTAAGCAGATCCTGGACACACACGGGCCCCAGTGGCTTGTTGGTTTACGAAACGTCCCGTATCTGGAGGCCCGTGATTCTCTCCGAACCCTCCCTGGAGTTGGCACCAAAGTAAGACAGAATGCAAACATGTTAGATCCTTACATTTTATTGATATTAACTTAGAGAGCAGATATTAAGACAAGAAGTAATAATAGCATTTGTTATAGGTGGCAGACTGTGTTTGTCTGATGTGTCTGGATAAGTGTGAGGCCGTTCCTGTGGACACACATGTTTGGCAGATCGCTAAACGGGACTATAAGTACACTTCTGATAACGGACAAAAGACCCTTACAGAAAAAGTTCACAGAGATATAGGTCGGTTTTTCCACACTTTGTTGAAGTTCTCCTCCTACAAAAACAAAATATCTAATGAAACTTTTCTCTGCAGGGGATTTTTTCAGAAAGCTGTGGGGCCCATATGCAGGTTGGGCCCATTCGGTAAGTATCATCATCCACTACGTTTCCATCTCTTTCACTGTGGATCTCCTGTTACCACTTATTTGCCTCTTTTAGGTTTTATTCTGTGCTGACCTCAAGAAGTTTCAGCACCTCAAAGAAATGAAAAGTTTAAAGCAGCCACAGAACGAAGAAGAGCGTGAAGGAGAGTGCAAGGGGCTAAAAGTAAAAAGAGAATTTGATGGACATGAAAAAAAGAAGAAACCCAAGTCGGAACGTCAGAAGAAGGCAAAGATGTCCGTCAAGACGGAAGAGGTGTGAAACCACAGATCTTTAATCAGATCAGACAAACATGCACTGGAATTATTGTTTACAAACTTCATGGAAATTGGTTCATGGTTATATTATCTCTCTTTTGTGTTTTTTTTTTAAATCTGAGGGTTAGTACTTTAAAATTACTTTGTGCTCTTTTATGACTTTAGAACTATGAAACGTATCATACAGTGTGGATTGTTTTAAAAATATAGTTATTTAAAAAATGATGAGCCTGTAAATTTTAATATTAAAAGTGTGATCATTATGAGCCACAAACTCAGTAAAACTCATTAATGCTGCGCTAGACTATTTCTACAGAATACCAAAAGCACTGGAAAAAAATACTGTATTTGCTATAATAATTTTGTGTGGGAATATGTTTAAGTTTTCTTTCTTTATAACTGATTTTATTGTCCAACATGGTGAATCCTAAAGTTGGAATCAGGACTCAAAAACTAAAACAAATGACAAAACTATTGTAATAGAATATATCTAATCTAGTAATTACAAAGGAAGCCCAGTTGATTGTTTTTTTTATTTAAGGTAAGCAGAATAAAGGTACACTTTTTAAGACCTATTGGTTTAATATAATATTTGAAGCACATATGTTGCATTTTCATTAGCTTCATCGTAATTAACAGGAATAAAGACTTGAGAACATCAGTCTGTGTGTAATTAAGCTATACAATGTGTTTCACTTAGTGAATGGAGTTGCTCAAAACATAAACTTTTCAGTGATATTCTAGTTCATTGAATGGATTTGTATATATTGAACCACTTGTCTCTTCCACTGTAAATGTATTCGAACAGAAAAGCTTGCAAACCATTAATCGAAAATAGATTTTTAGAAGTTTAAATTTCTAATGTAGTTTGTGTTTCCAGCCTTTTCTACCATGTAAAGAGCTGAATCAGTGCATCTGTTTATTTTTTTTTGTTTGTTTCTTTGTTTTCTGCGGGTTCTGCTTCGGCTATTCTTAATGTCCAGTTGGTCGTGGGACATCATTTCCTGTGAAGCAGGTTGTTTCTTTCCACTGTTGCGATTTGCTTACTCAATGCGGAGGAGTGGCTCCAAAGTCTTTGACGTTATTGTATTATAACTAGCTTTGAAATGAAATGTACGCCGCTGTATTTGAATGTGTGTGTACGATTGGATTAAATTAATTTCATATTTCTATGTATTAGGACATGAACTGGATACTTAGAGATGTAAAGTGCCTTGGATTATTTTTTTCTTCCTATAAAGAGGAACTTTATAAATAAACAGAATTAAATTTAAAGAAATGTTCTCAACTCACATGATCAAAAATATCTTGAAAGAGACTAGAATTAAATCGTTTTTAAATGTGGCCAATTTTAACTGTGCTAAAATTGGCCTCTAGATGGCAGCACAGATTGATCTCTATTATTACAGAGAGTCCATGTGGTTTATTCAGCTTTTTGACACTTGTATTGGATGAATTGTCACTGCCTGCTTCCTTGGCTTGTCACTGGTGTTTGAAGGCATGTTGGAGATGCCCGCAGGATGCCACAGCAGTGGGTGTTTCTTCAGAGCATTCCCTGGATCAGAGTAGTATTTCTGTGTATTAGCTCAAAAACAATCATCCTCGCTGAGTGATTCGGTGTCCATATGTTTATCTATAGGCACTTTCAGACTGTGTCAGCTGATCTTTTTATAGCAGGGGTCGCAGTTATCTGCTGTCAGTGCTCAGGGCTGCTGTGAGTGTCTCTGGTGACAGCAAGGCCGTCTAGGAGGTTTGATGTCCATGTGAAGGAATGACAGAGCTGCTTTTTAGTTTCCTTCATATAAGGACTCTTTTTAGATTTGCACGGCCATCAGGCTCTAATGTGAGAAATGTTTTTTGACGTGTCTTCGAGCAAGCGGAGGCCTATGTGTGTGGCTGTTTCATCTGCGGATGTGCGTGTCGTACATCCATAGGACTGTTTTATTTTTGTGGAGCAGAGTGCAGCCATGCGAGTTAATGAGAATGTGACTCAGCTTTCATCCCCGCTCCACTTCAGCTGGGCAGAAGCTGCGTCTCTGCTTCAGGCAGAGTCACTGTGAAGATAAAAATAAAAAAAAAATAAAAAATGAGAAGGGGGGATAGGTCAGTGTGTGCAGAAGGTAGGGACAGTGATGTTGGTGAAGGCACAAAGGACAGCAAAACAACAGTGGCCTGTGCGTTATGTAAGACGTGTGTCTTGACTTTTGTTGTACCCTCAGGGGTGATTCAGTTAAAAGGACATCTTACTGTGCCTACTTTTCTCTAGCATAAGTGTTGCTGCTGCCTACAAACACTTGGAGGCACCATAGTCAGAGCTTCCATGAAACGGAAAGATCTCCATCGATTTCCAGAAGTTGACAACAGCTTGGATGGGAATGTTTTGTGGTAACGGACTCTAAAATATTCCCCCTGAACAGTGTTGCCCATACACTGTTCAGGGGGAAGTTCTCTTGAAAGTGGGTCATATGCAAAAAAGGACCTTTCAAAAAATTTATTTTTAGACTTACTTTGGTTAGCAGTATGCATAAAGGTTAGGCTTTATATGCATAAAATATACTTTAACTTGATGAACAATAAAAGTATTTTATTTAAGCTTTAAAGAGATTTTTTTAATCATTGTGTTGCATCTGTCCTTTAATAACACCAGAAATATTTAAAAACTAATATCAAATGTTTGTTTAGTGTTTATGTATTAGTTAATCTAAATACATCAGAAAATGTAGGATATTATTATTATTATTATTATTATTATTATTATTATTATATTGCTAAAACACAGTATTTTAAGTACATAAGCTAAATCCGGGAAGAAGTTTAAACTTATTAAATTATGTTCTGCCTAATTTGTTTATCACTAAGGTTAATATGAACATGTATTATCAGGCCTCAAGATGTTAAAATACTCTGTTCACAATACAAATGTTACATTCAAGTGCAAGTGGAAGTTTTTTTTTTCTTTAAGGAAAGCTAATCTTTATCTTTTTTAGTCTGACACAGTAGTTATCAATAAGTTGGAAAAAAATGTCACAATTAATGATTTGTGAGTAATCTAACTGTGACCTCACTCTACCAATAAAAGGACCAGTCTCTGTTTTCTGTCTTCTGTTTACACAGCAGTGTCAGATGTTTTCATATGACAGTAAGACAGACAAAAACCTTAAGAGTTCATCTTAGATGTGGTGAAATTTAACACTTCCACAGGCAGCTGTGATGAAGTCCGACAGAACAGGAAGGTGGTCCCCACATGGAGGTCTCATTGGGGCCCAAAGATGGGGTGCTTTGTTCCGTAGGATGAAGGGAAACCACAAAGTGAAAGACTGAGAGCACAGAGCTGCCAAGGATCTTTCAGATCTCAAACTGTTCTGACTCTGAAGTGTGTAGATGGTCGCTAGCAAAGCTGTTCTTAATAAAAGCGGCTTATTTTGTCAAAAAAGATAATATACGTCATCTGAAGGGGCCCTTGCTTTTCAGCCAAGGATTAAGACTCAATAGCTCATATTTTTAAGGAGGATGGTTGCATTTGAACCAGCTAAAATTCAGTTCAAATTAACTCTTTGAGCCCAAGAAATAAAGGGGCCTCGGGCCTAGCCACAGCAAACAGAATGACTAAAGAGTTGTAGCCAAGAAGGCGTAAAATGATTTGAAATAGGATAAACTGTGGGAAAATAATATTACTGAGACCAAAATCTGAAATGTAGCTGTTACAGACATACATTTGAAACAAGATGCTTACATCAAATAAAAATACACATGTACCTTTTGTCCTCACTGTCTAAAGATAAATCAGACTAAACTTCTTTTGTTCTACGTCAGTTAGAATAACCAAAATTAGTTCTGTAAACTAAGTGCCACAAAAATGAGTGAACATGTCAAATATTTATTAATGTTTTTAAAAACAGAAATTTACATACATTTTCTCTGTATTAGCAGGTTTGCCTTTAAATTGTATTACTTGGGCCAAACATTTTGTGTTTCGTTCCTCAAGCTTCTCATAAAGGTTTGTTGGAAAAATATTTGAAATATAAACCAATTTTCTCATCACCAACAGTGGATTCTAAATCATAGGTATACCTATAAAGACGGTACTCCAAAATACAACGCTGGATTTTACCATGGTGTATATTTAACGAAACACAAGTTATGCCTGATTTAATTTCAGAAAGATTACAATGAAAAAAATAAATAAATCGAATATATGCAGATGGTTTCTGTAGCAAATCTTTCCTGATTCTTGTTTGATTTCAGAAGAATGTAGACTTCTCTTAGAGAAATAACACAGTGTCTCTTGTTATCTTATTCTTCAAATTTTTAGGATAGCAAGAGAAAGAGAATCATGCCAAGAGGAAAGGTCAGTATGCTGCAGGCTCAATAATCTCACTGACTGATAGATGAAGAAACATACAATTTAATGAACTTTAAATCAAAACTTGAACACTCAATAAAAGATTAGAAAACAATCTTAGTCATGATTAAAAGTTTGTGCCAAAGCAAATGGAAGCATTAAACAAAGCACGTCTTTAAATAAACCATTTTTTGGTATTTCATAGATATAGGACTTTATTTTTCTTAGGATGTAACCGCTGCTTTATTTTGTAGCATAGGGTGATTATTCCTCAAATTATACATTTCAAAATGTAATTTTTTAAATAAATGTTTCTTAGTTGTATTGAAAATCCTTAAAACTGTCCTGTAAGTAAGCTCTTCTAGACAATTTCCTTCTTATTAGAACCAGCCCCCTCTTTAACACCCTACTACTCTAATCTTGTTAGAGCTGTCAACACTCCTCTCATGTTACAGTTTTCTCTTAAAGAAAAAGCGAAACAAAAAGGTGTTTCGCATTTTTTATGTTAGCAGTCATTTCTAGCATTAAATCCATTGCCAGCGTGTTGTTAGTCAAGCAGCTACAATGTTAGTCATAATCTATGGACAATAATGTGATTACCATCCAAAAGTGTTCCTGTTCCACCTGCTCAAAGCCTCCAGTGACCCCTGCTGGCTCAGTAGTAATTTAATGGCCTTAAGACAATCCTCTGAGCCACCCAGGTTATTTTAGGACTCAGCTCGGTGGTCCAGTCGGTTTGATGAAAGTGAAGAATACAAAAGAGAACTTTAGGAGCTGGGAATCATTCCTGTTTGTAATCTGGTTCTGAATCCACACCCACGGCCATTATCAGATGGTGTCTGTGTTTAAGGCTTAATCAGAGCAAAGCTGCTGCCTTCAGCGTGTCCAGACAAGAAAATGTAGAAGTTATTGTAAAAACAGAAACACTCAGACGAAGCATGACAGAGTGGCTCTGAGCCAAGGTGCAGCATGAGGAAACTCTATCAGTTTGGCTCAAGGTGGCTTGTTCTCGCTCTACACACCCAGAATGGGGTGTAGCACAGCAGAGTGAGAGTATTGTTTCATCTGGACTCATCTTACTGTCCTTGTGGCTGTGGCACAAACAATCTCTCGTTCAAGCTACTGGCTAGACTTTTCAGTTAAATTAGTCAAAATGTAACAAAATACCAATGTAAGTCTTTCTATTTGCTTTGCTATTTCATAGTACATCCTTGCAATAATAATAATAATAATAATAATAATAATAATAATTGTGAGTGAAATGTGTCATAAAAACACATAGACTATAATAAAACTGGGTGCCTTCCCTTACAAACATTAATTCACACAACACCATCACACATAAGCATGGCATTAGAAATAAGACTCGCTCCGCTGGGTATAAATTGTTCTTATTTAGTCAAGACAAAAGCTTCCAACCAAAAAAAACAAGCTGTCACATTTACACGCCTCTGGTGATGTTTACATATGGCAAATGATCAGAGTTCATTTGAGTCCATTGTTTCCTCGTCTTTATTGGTAACAGCATGTTTTGAGCTGAAAATACTGCATGGATTTCAAGTTAGTTTGGTGACAATAAAGTCCTTTACAGTGGTTTGAGAAGAGAATTAGGGCAGACTGGAACTGTCATAATTTCATTTTCAAAGATTCCCAGTCATCTTGAGACAACTGTCTTGATCCATTGAACTTTTAATTAGAATTTTGTGTTATTCTGTTTGATCTATTTGTATTTTGGATTTTAAAGTTTTATGTTTGGTTGTTTTACTCTGTTCAGTTATTCTGTCCTGTACGCCTTTTTCCTCAGCTCCTCTGGCCACATAGTCGCAAAGCATCTAACTGTTTAGACCTACTTGCTCTTTAGCCACACTTGCCACACTCTGTGTTTATACTGCTACTTCTTTCCAGTCATTTGCTGGGATTTGTTTTTTCCCTTCTGACATCTTGCAAGTTTTTCATCAATGCTTCTTCCTCTTGATCACCCACAGTTCTCAAGTTCTCTTTTTCCCAGCTATTCACATTAAATAATTTTTGCCTGCCTCCTGCCTGCAATTGGATGCTCAACAATTTAATTTACTTTATGAGGAATGCATATTTGAAATCCCAGAAATGTTCAATTTTTGTCTTTGACAAACTTTGGATAAGTCCTGACAAAGCATGCCTATGCAGAGAAAACTTGACTCCAGCCATGCACAATTTTATCAGAAAATCCTCAATGGTTCAAAGGGGATCATTGAGTGCTGCACCTTGGTCTGTTGACTGCTAACCGCTGGAGTGGGCTGCTTGATAAAAAATAAAGGCTGTATATTTTTTGACACAGTACCATCACTCATGTGCATTGCATTTTAGAGTGACCGGTAAGCCAACATACATGTTTTTCTTCTTTTTTTTTTTTTTTGACAAAGTTGGATGCACAGGGAGAACCATGCAAACTCCATGCAGAAAAGCGCTGGGCAGGATTTGAACCCAAGACCTTATTATTATCAAGGAATTGTGAGTTTGTTGCATAGTGGTGCAGTTGGTAGCACTGTTGCCTTGCAGCAAGAAAGTCCTTGGTTTGATTCCCAGCCCCTGGTCTTTCTGCATTGAGTTTGCATGTTCTCCCTGTGCATACGTGGGTTCTGTCCAACAACATGACTGTTAGGTTAATTGGTCTGTATAAATTCTCCTTAGGTGTAAGTGTGTGTGCGCATGGCTGTTTGTCCTGTGTTGCCCTATGATGGACTGGCAACCTGTCCAGGTTGTACTCCGCCTCTCACTCGTTGACAGCTGGAGATAGGCACCAGCACCCCTTACTAACCCCTGTGGGATAAGGGTGTAAGAAAATGGATGAATGGGAAATTTGAGCCTTTTATGATTATCCTATCATGTGAGTTGTTAAAATATCTAAAAATCAAGAGAAATGAATTATAGCACAATGGTTAATTGCATTGGTACAAAATTTCTTGTGCACTAACAGCATGAAATGGCAAAGTGTGGGCACAAAATGGGTACATACTGGCAAGATTTAAACTGACCTGCAGCAACTTTGTTGAACCTTTGATTGAACCAATTACAAAGAGAGATGAATCTGCCCTTTTCTTTATTGTATTTTTTAATCACCATGTTCTTTTCCAAAGTGCTATTTTTTTTAATTCGTTGCACAGATGTGCTTTTGTTGTCAGAGCATATTTTTCCTTGAGGAGCGGGGAATAGCTACATCTATAAAGTATCTCCATTTACTTGTGCAGGTTTAATACTCATAACACGAGTTTAATTTAGATTCGAAGAAACACCGCTAAGAATCTGGACTGTGGTTTCTACGCTCAGTTTGATGATGACAATCATATGTACCCTCAGTTCTACTGTATGAACAGGTAGATATGAAATGACAGTCAAGAAGTAGCCGCCCGCTGTTGCGTAAGAACCGTGTAAGGCGACCGGTTGGTCGGTAAAGCAGAAGTGTTTATCCGCTTGTGAGGAAAAACAGTGAGAGGGAGGGAGCGATGTGGAGAGAGATGAAGAGGACGGAGGGGGCGTATATCCCTTCAGTAGCTCGTGGTTAGGGGAAGAGGCAGCGATAGTAGAAGGTAGCTGGACATAGAGGAAGCCCTGGTGGTTCTTCGGATAAAACGAGGAAGACTACATTTTTCTGTCATTATCACAGAATGCCTTAGTCCCCTCCCTCCCTTCCCAGCCTGCCGCAACAGACGCCATCTGAAAGGATCCGGACAGACCTGCAGGTACGTCCTCCAGGCACCGACAGTTGCGTAGCAGCCGCTATGCGGGGATTCATTGCGCATTAATACTGTAGTCACGCTGCCTTTACCTGTGCCGGGCCGACTCACCGTTCAGGTTCAGGTTCCCACGCTACTAACCTGGGTTTCATTTAGTGGTGGTTGATAAAGGCTTCAGCTTTTTATTGTTATTATGATTTCCTGATTAGTAGTCGCACAGTCTTCATCCTAAAGGGCGCCAGGGAAAGGCTGGACAAGACAAATTTCACCCGGTGTTGTGCCGCAAAAAGCGCCCCCACCGATGTTAGGACAGTAACGGCGTTGCTACTCTCATTAATAGTTAACAACGGCACCCTGATACTAATTTGTTACCCGCAAAGTGTAATAAAAGCTGCAAAGTCCTGAAGAACAAAGTTTATTGGTCTCATTTTTAGGTTACACGAAGTTAGTGTTTATTTTTTAGCTACATTGACTTGGAATTTATTGGCTAATAAAACTGAGCAGTGGAAGATTATGGAGGATCAGAAGTGCCATATTTCAATAAATGAATAAATCATTGTATACCTACGTATATATAGCATAAAGTACACACTTCAGCCAAACAATAGAAAATCACCAAATAGTTTCTTAATTTAATTATTTCAACGTAGAGTTTAGTCTGTCAATATCAAAGTCAGTGGGTCCAATATTATCAATATTATCATAGTTCAGATCAAATCACACTATTAGGTCAAATATATAGGGCCTATTTAACAAGTTACAGTGCTAGAGTCTGAAACCTTTTTGGCCATTTCTGAATTTGACTTATTACAATAAAGGAATGAAATCACAAGCATGCTCAATAAACTTGAATTTGGAAAATTAATCAGATCAGAGAAATAATTCAAATTACAATTGAAATACAGCGAAGCTATGGACAAATACTTCCCATTTAAAACATGTAATTTGAATGCATTCCTTCATTAATACTAACCCAAAATAAACACAAGGAAAATGTATGTCCCCATCTCTTCTCAGATGAAAAGGATATAAGTAGGAATCCAAGGAAACTCCCTTTCAGACGCCTGTAGGATTAAACTAAGTCATAGTGCATTGCCAAAGAGGAACCATGAAATAAATAACTGAACTAGGCGTGTTATTTACCATTGCACTTGCAGATTAATTAAAAAAAAAATATTGGCACATTTTGTCATTTCTTTATTTGATGAGTTTGTTTCCAATTTTTTTCTTGGAATTGTGAAAAATAAAAAGGATGTTTTTAATATACTTGTTGAATTGTGAGGCTGTTAATATTTCATAGATGCCTACAATAATTTTATTAACCTTTACAGACTACTGGAATCTAGGAGAGTTCTGACAGATTACCTTAATTAAAAAAAAAAAAGCATCACAACCCAAAACCAACACTTACACTTTTAAGAAGAGCTTAAGTAAGATTTTACAGCTGGTTTGGTTAGGTCATAATGCGGAAGTCAACTCAAGAAGTACCGAAAAGGGAGTAATATGACTAAAGATGACTTATGACTATGACTATGGCTCTGGCATCAAACAAATTATTAATTTCACTGTCTTCTAATGTTTCAAAGGCTTTTATTCTGACAAGATGAACAGAAAGTACTTTTCGTCACAGGAACAAACTCTAAAAACGAAACCTTAAAGGAGACAGTGAAAAATAAAAGAATAGAATAGAAATATCCTTTATTTCCAGTTCTATTATATCTGATAGATTTTAAAGTTGCTCATCACTTCTCTTTATCAGCCAACAGTTCATTTACTGACAAGTTGTTTGCAACCTCAACATAATTTTATTGCATCCAGCTGCAACAATACGAGAGTCTTGGGTTCAAGCAGAGCTGTGGTTAACTCTCTGTAGTCTGCAAGGTTTATGACTTGTGATGCCTGTAATTTATTCCCCTGAGAGTGTCTTTGTGGCTTAGTGGGATTCAAAAGCCGTCTCAAAAAGTCAGCAGACTTGCTATCTTTCAGGGTGTGTTTCTGGCAATGCGCGGGAGCTAATTAAAACATCAGAGTCCGAACATGGTTGAAAAGATTGTAAAATTTGTGCTTAACTTTCTTTCCATGGTTCTCCAGTCACGTGATTTTGCTGACAACTTGCATATAAAACAGAAAGAAACTGTCTGCAGGTCTCCTGTTTGAGGAAAGACAATTTGTTAAACAGAAAATGAAAGCATTGCAAGATGCTTCCATCTTGCAATGAAACTGCATTTAATGCATTTAACTGCATTGAAGCAGTTAAATGTCATTTAATTTTTATCAAAGTCAAAAAATTCTATTAAAGTGAAGTGTTTGGATGGTAATCTGATAATGGTGGAAGTCATATCCAATAATGACAGGTCAAGGGAAAATTGGCTGATTCTGGTCTTTGGCTGATCAATTGGTGCATCTGTAATATTCTGGTTGCAGTCGCAGCCTTTGATCAGTGGTTCACTTCCCCGATGAGCTTTAGAGATATTCTGGGGTCCATCACCTTTCACTGGAACATCCTCTCCATCAATGATCAAAAACATGCGGAACTGTTTCTGGAGCCTCTTTTCAACATCTCCTGTGTGGTCGATTTCTGACGTTTTGACTCCCCCCAACCTTCCCTACACACACACAAACACACACACACACACACACACACACACACTGGGAGGCCTTCTTAACAACCTTCCTTGTCTGGGGGTAGATGGATCAGTTTGGTCTGACACTTATATTCTGTGACCTCACCTGGAAAACTTTCTGGAAAATCAATTTTCCAGGTTAGGAGCTCAAATGTCTCAAGATCTAACAGTGAAACTTGAACAAAATAGTGAAGGGCATGTTTTTTTTTTGTTGTTTTTTTTGTTTTTTAATGGTACTGGTAGTAAGGCGATACAGTGGGAGCTATTTGGAAACTGTGTGTTATTTCAAGGTGTGGAATTTTGTAACGGTTAATGGAAGGACCTCCCCCGTGACTCACATTCCAACACAACCACACATGCTCCTTCTTTCCCTTTTCTTCCTGTTTCTCACATACCTACATATTCACATACATTCACTTCCTAACACACCCACCCACGTTTCCACAGTCAGGACGAAGTACAAACAAGTTATACATCTGCACAGCTTGCTGATGGCTGAGCAGTAATGCTTTACGGTTATACACCACAGAGGAGAGAGGCGCTTTACATTTAGCTCCATATATGTTTATGTCTTTATATTCCCAACATAGTTATTTGCACCTCTTACAATCCCTCTCAACTTCTGCCTATCTGCCCCGTTTCTGCAGAAAGCCGACTTTCTGTAGCCTGATTCTCACCACTTCTTTTGTCATTTTGATATATGCTCTTTGTACACTTTCTCCTTTAATTAACATTGCAATATTTCCTCCTTATTAAGCTTGTTAGAACCACCTTTACAACAAATAAGAAAACCAGTCCAAGTAATAATAGCTATGGTTCAAGTTATTTCACTAAAAGGTTAGAATTCCTTAATTTTCTGTTTTATATAAAATCAAAATCTTCAAATCAAGAACCTGTAACTTTTATTTTACTCCTTACCGTTTTTGTGGTGTATCCTGCTAGATCCCAGCTGGCACCTAAAAGAATGCCAGAAATCAGCATCAGCCAAGAAAAGCTTGACTAGCACGTCTCTATTCTTCACTGATGAGTGAGACCATTAACTAACAGAACTATTGGAAAATGACCTACTTGTGAAAATTGCATGTTTGGGCTTGCCTTTTTTAATGTTTATATTTGCATTTCTTTTGTACTTCATTGCACTCCACATGTTTCTGACAGTTTAGATTAAAAAATAAATTACATTTCAATCAACTCAAGACACATGTTTTTAGTTTAAAAAGTTCCAATGTACCCAATTTCACTAGCAGAACCAAAACACTGCTGGTCTTTGACACATAAAATCAAGTTTGAACCTTTAACAGAAGGAGACAGAAAGTCGTAGAGGTCTAAGCACCAGCAGCTGTGCAAAGCAATTGCCAGATTGCTGTCTGCAATTGGCAAAATTGTGATTTTAATCAGGAGCCATCCAATCAATTACTACGTAAACAAGATTCCAGCCATGACTCGGCTTTCTGTCCTTCGCGTGGTACTTCATGTACTCTGTGCTAAGAAAGCTGTGTTGTCCTCAGACCTTCACTAAAAATCTAAACCAAATTGTTGATGAGAAGCATTTGGATTGGTCTTAGTTAAGAAGACTGATCCTAGACTGGCAACAGACAGATAGAATCGCTCTAGCCAATGGAAACTTCACACTCTGTCATCCTGTCTGAAATCTAGTAAAAAGAAAATGAATGTTTGCAAGTAGGAGGGAGTCTCTGCGCACCCCACCCACATCCCTACACACATACACACACCTCCCAGGTTTCTTATGGAAAGTTTGTGCATTCACTCGTCATATTAAAACATAAGTGTGTAGACATGACATCAGTGCTGCGACGATTAACTGATTAGTAGCAGCTGTTGCAGCACTTACTCATCTGATTGTATAACAGCCAGGATATACCGTGGGCTAGGAGTTTATAGTAATCTCCAGATTGCTGCCTGCTACTGTACAGTTGGATTTTATCCACGGGCATTTCCTGCATCAAACAAGGCATGCTTTGTGCAAGTAAGAGTGACGGCATGCAGGCAACATGCTCACCATGTTGCATTTTAAATTCAGAGTGAAGTGTCTCAGAGAACCCCCTGGGCTTTACGAAGATAAAAATACTCGGGCCATGCACCCATCTGCCGCCCCCCCCTGTGAACAGTCTCAGAGGAACGTAATTTCTATTTGTGAGCCTATAGTGTGCGTATTTTAGTCACTGTTTGAGGGATTCTGGCTGCAGCATGCACACATGTGTCAGGGTCAAGAGAATGAACAACGTTTGCTCAACAGCGTACCGAAGCAGACATGAGGAAGGCTGATTAGTGGTGTCTGACTGAAGTGATTTGTCCTTTTTCCCCCAAATTCAAACTGTTTGGATGAGCTGAAACTAAATTCACTCTTATTTGTATTGGTCCAGTGGACCAGAACATTCTGCTCTGTTTTTGGCTTCTGGAAAAGAGATTGATTAATTGTGGCAACATTTCAAAAATAGAAATCAAGAGTTTCTCTCAATAATCTCTGCTTTGTCTCAGCATATTCTCGTATTTCTGACCATAGGTTTACACTCAAATCATTTGTATCTAGGTGGAAATAGTGTAACATACTCCATTACCAAAGAAGTAAGTTGAGAATGCACACCTGCATATGGAACTACATTGCAGTTTCTCTCTTTTTGCATAACTTCCTGGACTGATTGCCACGTTTGATCAAACCAGTTCACCATGCTGCGTAGTTTCCATGTGTCCATGTCTTACTTTTATGAAATGTCTGCCTTTGTTTCTGTCACTTTGTATTAACGAGCTTCTCCGACTCCCCCATCATCTGTTCTATATTTGCATCCCTCCACACTTCTCTCCGTATTAATAGTATTGCCAGTCTCCTCGCTTTCATCAGCTTGCCTCATTGTGCCCTCTACTATCAGCCACATCAAACCTCTTTCACCTTCTGTGCTTCTCTATCTGTATTTTCTCTTCTCTTTTCAAAATACCACTTCCACATCACCAGATTCTGGCATTGCATTCCAGTTATTTTGTTCTGCCTCTATCATTTGGATGTTATCTACCATGCAAAGCTGTGCAGCTGAAAAACAAGGTAGAAGAAGAGAGGGAAAGGGGGTGGAATTTGTTTTTTTTGTTTTTTTTGAAAATCGAGAGACAGAAGATGAGGTAGCTGAAAGAGGAAAAAAAGTAAACACTGACGCTACTGTGAGTGGGCGGAGAGTGAGATGTTCTAACAGTTGTATTCCTGTACACACTGATGTTTACAGGAATACATGTGGACCACTGTACAGACTCACTAAACACAAGATTTAGATTTCCTGAGGATGCGTAGAGAATTTCAACCTGGATTTTTTTCGCATGTATAAACTGCATGCTCACTCACTTGCACATTCCCAGACACATTTTCCATATACTCACACAAATTACCTTTAGCATGTTTGGAAGCCCAGAATACACGAGCAAACCCTTGTGTGTGACTACGGTGACTTTTCTGAGGTCTAATCATCATGGATGTGAATGGATGCAGGGTGACTCATTCACAGCGAAATAAAATCTCCCATAGCCACTGATTTCTATTTTCTGAGCTTCCCCTTCCCTTCCAGCTGAAGTTTTACTTTGTGCCGACACTGTTCCCAAAGGTTGTCTCCCACTCTGAGTCATAGGTAGAAACTGACGTGAAAGAGAAAGATTTATGCAAGTTGGAGAACAAAAAGATGGGTGTTGCGGGATTTTACTGGCAGTTGTTTGGTTCGATCACTTCTAAGAATGCACAGTCCTCAAGGGCCTGGGGGAGTCGCATGTCACCTGGCTCTCTCTCATATACGACGGACAGCCTCACAGCCTCTGGCATCATGACTCGGATAGCTTGTAAATAAGCCCTCCTACTTAGAAGCAAACACAGAGAAGACATGTGGAGGAAATAATCTTGATATTTTCCCAAAGAACCTTTTAAGGCACAGATAGGGGGAAAAAAGTTATTATACCCATCTGTCACTGACTGAAACCATCTGTGACTCCCTTCATTTTTGATTTGGTCTGTCATTTTGATTTACCACAGAAAGTTGAAACCAGATATTCACAAACACAAAAGCTACATGACCTTATTATTTTTTGCTCCTGGTCTGACCAGTTTGGTCTTTTCCCATTTTAAGTCAGAAAGAATTACCAAGATTTTTTCCTGTCTTGCTAAATATCAGAATAACGAGAGAGAATTTTAAGAAGTACACCCAAACACCTTATAGATGTATTTTGAAGCAACACCCAAACACTATGCTTTTTTTTATTTTATTTTTTTTGGAAAGAAAAGCAATCAGGAACAGATATCAAGAAGAACGTTTTGGATCTCCACAAGTCTGTTTCATTCTTGTGTACAAGTTTCAGATACCTGGAGGTGCCACTTTCATCTGTTCAAACAAACTTACACAAGTATAAACGCCATGTAAATGTCTGGCCTTTACAGCTTTCTGGAGAGAGACGTGTTGTGTATCCCAGAGGTCAACATGTTTTAGTGCAAAATGTTTGCATCAGCCCAAGAACCAAAACCCCTTCGGAAGAGCTTGGCTGATGCTTTGTCATTCATAATAACATGAATCCTGTCCCAACATGGCCTGAAAGGAAACTCGGTAATAAGGTGGAACCATCACTCCTAAAGCAACGCAGGAAACCATGCAGTCATATATAAAGGAGGTTAAAGGAGAAACTTGCAAACCTGCCAGGACAAAATTGATCAATTGTGACTTTTAAAATACCTTTAGCAACATACATAAAGAACATGGTTAGCACTACAAAACTGCACTCTCCGTTTGTATGCTCTAGAGAATGTACATTTTTATCTTAACTCCAAAAGGCTACCAACATATCCAAATCCATTATGTACCATGAGAGAATAAAAGCTCAACAAGATAAAACACAGTGACATTGCTGTCCTTTCTTCAGCTTTCCTGGCACCTACTGAAAATTATGCCCTCTCACATCAGAAAAAAGATCTGTTTGTCTTTTAAACAGCCGGTCATCAATCTCGGCTTACCGTACTGAAGATCACCCAATTCCACTTGCAGGACATTTTCTTTCTGTGCATTTCTAAGGTTAAAATTACTCTAACAAAATAAATTAAAAACGTATCAGTCTTTTTAAACCTAATTCTGTAATTATCTCTGTTTAGTTATTATGTATTTTCTCCTTTTCCCCAACAGTGGAAGGATGGTGTGACAAATAAGCCCCAATTCCCTGAAGGTTCACTTCGCTTCCTTGCTGAATATGGCTCTCAAGCTGCTCCTGTTCCATACCTTGATCCTATTCTTCTTCCATTTATCCGGTGCACAGACCATCATTGGTTCCTCCTCTTCCTTCACAACTCTGAACTTGCCTAGCAACCCACCTTCACCTACCAAGCAGACAATTAGATTCTGGCCTTCTTTGCCTCCCAGAGGACGCACCGATCTTCCCATCAGAGTAACAATCCGGGAAAGGTTTACAGCTTTGAATGCAGTGGAGCAGGGGCATCGGATGATCCATCCAACGACACAGCTCAACCCATCTTTAAGTTTTACGCAATCTCCACAGAATTTTACAAGGGGGCAAATTGCAACCCAACCAATTGTCTCAAGACCCAGGACTGACACAGCTAGTTTAACATCCATCAAGGCTTTAAAAAGGGAAGAAGCTGCCATAACTCCACCTTTTCCCACTTCGCCATCCCATCCAAGTCTTGCAGAAGAGAGATCAATCGAACGCTCAGAGGATGTTGATTCCCAAGGGTTGGGATCAGGCAGAGCCCTGGCAGAGGAGAAATCAACTGGTCATCAACCAACAGTTGCTGAGGAGATGGCTCAGTATCGACCACAGGCGCAGACCATGACCTCCAAAGTTACGGACGAAGAAACACCATCACTGGATTATCAGAATGATGAAACTCACCTGTTTTCATTGACAACCATCAGTGCAACCTCTACAGTAACACAACAAACACCTAAGGCTGTGGAATTAACGGGTAAGATATTTAATTATGAAGCCTATCTTTATGACCACCTGTCTAATGATTGTCCCCCATTTGCTGCCAAAACATCTCTGACCTCTTGAGGCATCAAATCCACAAGATCAGATCAGATCTGGTGCTTAGATGTTAGTAAGGGATCCTTTAGGTCAGGGGTGGGCAATCCTGGTCCTCGAGGGCCGGTGTCCTACAACTCTCAGATGTCTCCCTGGTCCAACACACTTGAATCCAAGAGCTGAATCACCTCCTAAGTGCAGTCCAGTTCTCCAGAGTCCTGCTAATGACCTCATTATATGACTCAGGTGTGTTGAAGAAGAGAAATATCTAAAAGTTGCAGGAGACCGGCCCTCCAGGGCTGGAGTTGCCCACCCCTGCTTTAGGTCCTTCAAGTTGTGAGGTGGGAGTTCCATGAATCAGATTTGTTTGCCCACCTCAGGATGGATTGGATTAAATCGGGTTTTGGGGAATTTCAACATATCAACACCTCACCGATTAGTAGGAGAGGTCTGAGTCATTATAGAAGACTAATTTCACCCCAATTGGTTTGTGGGGTGGAATGTGGAATTGCAATATCACATGAAACAAAATGTGCATTCTGACACTTTTCTCTACCAAAATTTGCATCTCAGCAATTTAAGCTACAGCAGTTCATCTGCTGGCCAACCTTAACTCAGCATAAGTGAGCATTGGCTGCCCATGCTGCAGACTTGGTAAACACTTGAATATCTTCAAATAATAGACATATTTTTTTACTTCACCTTTCACTAGTCATAATGTTATGTGATATCATCAGATGCATGTAACAGTTTCATAGCTTTTTGAAGTTGGGATTAAATGTCACTTGAATGTCTCAAAATATATTATCCTCCATTTTTAGGTACACTTGCAGCAAATCACCCTTCCAGTGACCGACTTCAGCCAAAGCAGGGCTCCTCTGCTGTGACATCTCCGAAACCCACGTCAAGCTCCGCTGGTAAACAGCCACAGACTGCAGGACAACCTGTCACAAACAGAAGCCCAGCTGGTCCGAATCCAAACAGTTCAACAGAACAAGAAACCCACACATCTACAACTGGTCTCCCACCTACTCCGGAGGCTGGTTGGACAGTTACAACTCCAAGTGTCAAAACAGCAGAAAAAGGAAAAAATACATCGAGAACTACTGTGCCGTCGAGAGGTAAGAAACAAGAATCTACATGTTCTGGAGTTACAACCACTTTCAGAGTTTCCTTTGTCCTCTGATCATTCAGAAAATAATTATTTATACAGCTGGAACCTTTTTCTTTTTTTTTTCTTTTTTTTTTTTTTTTTTTTTACTGGAAAAGGCTTCAAAGGAAAGGAAAAAGGAGACAAGTTTTTCCATAGGAAGGGGGGCTGTAGTTGGGGTCAACAAAAGTGAGCGACTAAAGTATGAGCAGGAGGTGAGAGGAAGTGGGTGGGTAGGACTGAAGGAAAAGGGCAAGAGGGAAGCAAATAGGGTCTCAGAGGAAGTAATGCAAAGGAGAAAGTAGACAGAGAGGGGGACGGTGTGGGAGAAGAAAGGTATATGGAGAACAGAGAGTGGGGATGAAAGTCAAATGCAGAGAGAAAAAGATGAAGGGAGGCGAGACAGTAAAAAATAAATAAAGGAACATTACACATGGAGCTCAAGAGACAGTCACAGCACATTTAAAGGGAGGCATTACTGGTAACATAACCACGCTTTTCTTAGCCGATCATTTTTGCAGCTGTTCTTTTGCTTGAAGTTCAGTTCAGTCAAAGTCGGTGTCTCCCTTTTAAACCCATATTAGGAAGTAAGAGCAGCAGTGCTTAGTGTACAAAGAACACACAGGTTAATTCAAGACACTTGGGGTTGTCTGATGAGCATGAAATGACTAAACAGTATACTAGATGTATTTATGTTTTACTCAGTAACCACAATACACGTGTGATAAACAGTACAATGCAGTAACTTTGACGAATAGCATGCCCTCATCTGTTTACTTCAGGGCAGTTTTTCCAAAACGTTTCAGCTTCTGACTCCCCAAGTACCAGTGAAAGGGCTTTTTGATCCCAACTAACCAGTTAAAGATGGTTATTATAGCAACAGAAACAATATCAACTACCAGTGAATTTAATTTTGCTGCAAGAATTTTTAGCAGTACATTCTTTTTTTATAAATTTATAGCATAAAAAAAAAAATCTAAAATAATTTATTTATCCGAAAGGGGAATTGAATATTATTGGAACTCATAGCCAAGTATTTTCAAAGATCTGCTGTGATTATTGGTGATACTGTGGGCAGGATGAATCTCCAGAAGCAGTCAGTCTTGCAACAAATTCGAAGAGGCCTCTGACTGAGGACTGTTGCTGCATAATGGTTTCATCACCGTCATGACAGCGGTGATAGTATGTGGGCAGCAGAGACAGTATTCCACAGGGACATGTCCCAGATGACATAATCAGTTCTTGAGAATCCACCTAATTTGTTTTCCTGCTTCTTAACAGCCATGTTTGCCAAATGTAATTTCTAAGGAACTGTGATGGGTGACACTCCTTTAGCTTTCACACAATGAGTATCTGTGTTATTTTTCTGAATAAGAATGTGAAGTTGGGAGAGGGGCACTGCTGTGTTAGTTTTATTTCATTTAAAGGACTTTAAATGGGAGGAACAATTAAACTGCAGCTCTAAGTTTGTAACTTCTAGTGTACATTCTTAACATTCTTAACACCTGCATGCATAAAAATATATTTCTCCATTTAAAATATATCACACTTAACAGGTTAATACACATACGTGTATGTTGCTTAATATATATATATATATATATATATATATATATATATATATATATATATATATATATATATATATATATATATATATATATATATATATA